TCCTCCCTCTCTTCTTGCCACAAGAGCTCTTGGTTCTGTGTTCAGAAATAAACTCTCACTGATATCTTGAAAAGGAAATATCTTGAACTCTAGTCACTATCATGGCTCAAGGGGAAAATGAAAAAACATAGAACAAAAGACCTCCTAGAAAATGATGAGGAAACTGGTTGATTCATACTTTGTGGTATCATGCTAATGTGTAAGATTCATTTCAAGAACATCTCCAACAGACCATTTTGTCATTGGTGTCCACCTGCAGGCTGCACGTCCCAAGAGCAATTCTGAACTCCTTTATTTTCTCATCTATAATTTACTGACAGTTTTTGAGGAATCCTTGAATCTGAGTCAAGTCTTATGAAGAAGGATCAGTTAAAAAAAAAAAAAGAAAAAAAGAAAAACAAGGGAAAAAACACACTAAAAATGAAACTTTGACAAGTAAAATCAAAGCTTAGTTTTCAGAACAGCCTTCAGCTGCACAGGCTGTACAACTACCTATTCCATCACTGTCTATATTTTAGTGCAAGTGAAGGAGTACTCTTAAAAGAATTTGGTAAAGCAAAATGAAAAACTCCTGTATAAAGTTTCATAAATATGCAACTATCTGTCACTAAAAATATGTCATTTTTAAGATGTCTTATAAAGAAAATTAGCATTTGACACAGAATCTACAGGAGTTCTTAGTCTGACTTTAAGAAAAAAAAAAATCACAACTATTCCTTAGCAAGGTCCACTTGGATAAGGAAGAACTAACTTGAAAGGGACTCATCACTGAGATCTTTCCTTACAATGAAGTGCCTATGAAGTTAATTAGTCCTTTCCCAAATTTTGCTCATTTTGCTGTAGAAATTTATATCTATATCAAGAATAGAATTTCTTTGCTAAAATAATCAGTTGTGGAGGGAGGACAGTTTGGCCAATATCACCATGTGTCAGACACTTATTTCCAGCTAACTCCTTTTTTAAAATAGATAATCTCTAGACAGATATGCATTAAAGCTGTTCAAATTCCTCAAAAAAGTGGAATGTAAGCCTGTAATTCATGTTGTTTCAATGACAAAAACAACATCCAACTAATAAAGTTCGCAACCATTACCACTTACACAACAGTTTTGCAACATGTCAAATTCCAAATGTGTTTAAAAAAAGACCAGAGCAAAATCTAGACAAAGACAGGGTGTTATTTAAAGACTATTTCTAGTTCTTCTCTGGTGTACTTTGTTTTGCCTTGCTTTAAGTGTATACCCAGCATGGGGTTTCCCATTAAGAGCTGCTGAGCCTTAACCCAGCCTTTTCTCCTCAAGAAGCCACTTCCCATCTCTGATCACTGCTGCTCCCTCCTGCACCTCCATTACACTCTTTTTAAAGCAGGATGAACAAAACTACCTGCAACATTCAAGAGATCGACGTGTCAGGAATTTTACAGTTTTTTCTGTTTGCTCTATGTTTTTTTGTGGTTTTTTTTTTTTTTCTGGAAATACCTACGGCATCAATAGGGATTATTCAGAAAGTGTTATCCTAATAACTCCTAGAATGCAAGCAAAGCAAGGCTTTTAGGACAACATGCTATCCACTATGAAACCGTGCAATAGTTAGACAAGCTTGTGGGTGCATGACCTAGAAACACTTGAAGTGTATAAAACAGGGTGACCAAAGTAAACAAAATCTATTTTTCCATTGGCCTACCTATGGCAAACAGCTGTTCTGGTCAGGGAAGCTGCCAGAGCCAGCCAGCCATGGGAGCAACTCCAGGGCCAACAGCTACAGCTGGGCAAAGCCTTACACAGCATGGGAGAGGGGGCTCAGAGCAGAAGCCTGAGGAAAACACCGGCAACAGGCAGCAATTCCAGTCCTGCGTGTGCTGAATACATACACATGCTATGAAACACTTTTCTCCCCTTTCTCATATCTGTACACAGATGAAAGAAATACTGAAGCTCAATGTACAAAAGAATGAATATAGTAACTACAGCAAATGTATTCATAAACTAAATCCTCTACCATTTAAGGAAAGATTAAACAAGCTGAAGCAATAGAAGAGACAGCCTGGTGGTCTACCACCATTTAAAAGATGTTACCATCCTAAGGAAGATGTTTGGAGCAGGACATTACGTGCAGGAGGAATTAGATGAGTTAGTTACAGAGAGATACCTGAGGATACACAGAATATGCCAGAATCACGCCAGACAATATTCCCCCAAGAGTAAGTGTAAATTTGAGCTTTCAAAACTGAAGCTGACAATGCACTGGCCTTTGCTTCGCAGGGAGCAATCTATCAGAAAAATGGGCGATTAAATTGCAGAATCACAGAAAGAGAGAATGGAAACACCTCAAGGGCAGTGTTTGAAGAAGTGACAGGTCTGAAACAGCTCCTCCTTATCTTAATATGGGGGGGGGGGGTTTCAGTCAGATATATGGAAAGCTGCACAGGCTATACAACCAAAAATGCCACAAATTAAATAACCCTGTAGCTAGTAGCAATAATTCAGTGCCCACTTAAACATGACTGCACTCCTCTGGGCCAGCACCCAGTTGTCATCTACAGTTGTCATGGCTTCCTGAAGAATTAAGGGCTCTGCCTTACAGAAGACTAAATCAAGATGCTAGCACATGAAAATGAGCATGCTTCTCTCAGCACTCAGGGTTCTGGAGAGTAGCAGGTCACCAGCACGTGAAGTGGTTGTGCTCTGCAATGTGATCAGCAGCCCGCTTGACCATTGTGTAATCTCCCAAACCTCAACAGAGACATAGTAGATGTAGTACCCCACAGGTTATGACCTACAAGAATCAGTACCTTGAATAAAAAGCATTGCTGGGATTTGTTGAATAGGAGTGAATTAAGATAGAGGAAAGAAAATATGAATATCAAACCACAGCAGCAGAGGAGCAGTGTCATGACAACAGCTTTTCTCCTTCAGAATAATCACTCTTGGTTAAGTGTAGCTCAGTAAAGGAACACATTCCTCAGACTTAATACTCTAAAATTAGCACCTCTGGAGACAAATAGAATAAAAGCCTATAGTGGCAGTATCCACAAGAATGCCTGTATTTAAGTATTACAATCATTATTAATTTTTTTTGCATGTGGCCTTTTATACTATAATTTAAAAATTGGATGTAGTAGTGTTTGGCAAGTTCATGTCAACATGGTATGACACAGAAGAAAAAGTAAATGCACTTCTAGAATATTTCAGCCAAATTATTTTCAGGAGAACTAGGAAATAAGGGAGTATTTAATCTAATTCTATTTTTTAAAGTACCATTTCATCCAGGTTACCTGTATAATCTTGTTTCATCGCTTCCAAATTTAAAAACAGAATTGGTACAGAAAAAGGCACCTAAGATGAGAAGGAGATTAAAGAGCTTGTTTTACTAGAGGAGATGAAGTCTGATCTAAAACACAGAGATCACAAGTAATGGGGGAAGAGAAAGGAAACACACTTTGGGTGGGGTGCGGGGGGGAGAAGAGAGAGAAAGATATTAAGTGATAAATAACAGTTGACTAAAAGAATTATAATAAGCTGACGGAACTGGGATGGAAAGGTATCAGAAGGAAATGAGAAGACTCTCAACCACCAGCCCTTCCAGTAGAAAGCTTGGGAAGGCTTAACTACATACTAAAGCCAGTTGTAGAAGCAGAAATGCAACCTCCATAATTTGTTACAATTCAACTAGTGAGAAGAAGGGAAGGGGAGAAGAGAAATAAAAGGAGCAAAAGTAGGCTGAAACCAAGGAATAAGTATTTCCTGCTCCAAATATCCCAAAGACCTAACAAGGAAATAAAAATTTGCATGACAACTCAGCTTTAAAAATGTATGCATGTTCAAAAAAAGAAACGAAACCCCAAAACAAACAACCAACCAAACAAAAAAACCCTACTACATAAGGGCTGAGATATACTCTAAGCAGTTGAATCAGCCTCTTGACATTTAAAACATTCATTTGTAACAGACTAGCCTTCAAAGAAAGAGAAGGGACATCTTTAGAAGCCACATAACGAAGGTCAGTGAAAGCCATTTTACGTTTTTTCCAAAAATATGGTGCTTTGGGGGAGGGGGGGAGTAATCTTCAATAAAGGGTAAATTGAATCAAAACATTTGCCTTCAGGAGAGCTGAACAGGGTAAGTGGGCTCAAGGATAAACGGACAGAATAGGAGAGCTAGTCAGCTAAAAATAAAAGTTTCAGGAAGGATGGTTTCATGTATCTACAAAGGAGCTGGATTTGGATGGACACGGGAGTATAAACGCTCCTCACTTTTCCACTGTTTACTACTTTTGCTGGCTGTCAGAAGGGATTCTTAGTCCTGGTTTCACTGCCACAGACATTTCCTCCACACCGCTTTGAAGATTCATCTCTGGGTGAAAAGTACTTCCAAGTGCCAGCCTAAATAAACCTCGACTTCATTTATTCAGAGTAATGACGACATCCAGCGGCCACCAAGTTAATCTCAGCCTATGGCGGCAAGATAACCTCTCATATCAGAAGAGATAATCTCCTTCCACAAAGGTGTATATGTAGTAACTCTGCTCTTTCACCTACAAGTCTAAAATTAGGAGTGCATTACAAGGAACACTATTATCAGTGAGCAAGTGTCTACCTATTCAGGTCCTCATATGAACTCTAACCAAGCCTTTTTCAGTTCTATCTTGCTTTGAAAAATCACAAATGAAAAACGCAAAAACTCTTAAGCACTTCCATGGTACTCAAAGAAACTGGAAACCAGTAAAAACAAATGTACACCAAGACAGGTAGATGGGAAAACCTGCATATGCACACACACAAGCCGCTCAAACTAAAATTTTAAAACTGCCTGCCACATCTACCAAACTCTGTCACACATATACACTACTAAAAGACATGGAAGAAATAACTTCTCAAAGTGCTTCAAAGCAAAACACAGTGTTTCTGTTTTCCACTTTTTTAAGGACCTCAGTCAAAATATGAAAATGTAAGACTTTGAGCATGCTTCTTTTCTTCCACAGAAAACATGTTTAATACTCACTTGCCCAAATATTTCTGGCAGCCCCAAAACTTGACCAGTGAAAACACCAATACAGATGAAAATCGCTGTGACCTGACCCAATGAACCACGGATTTCCTTAGGAGATATTTCACTCAAATACATGGGAAGGGCACTCAGAGAAATGCCTAAGAAGGAAGGAAAAAAAACATACATTAACTATAATCACCTTTTTATTATGTCAAGTATGAAACAAATGTCTATTGAAAGGAGTCTTGAGTGCTAACCTGCTTACAAGAGTGGCATGAAAGAACAGAACTACATCTATACACAGATAATATGAAATATCTTCTCTGCATGTCTGATTTTTCTTGCACCATTTAATAACCATGGGATTGATTATCTGTTAGAGATCTGGGATTGATTATCTGTTAGAGATCTACAGTGATGTGTGTAGGTTGCTATTTGAAGAGAAGCACCAAAGGTTATTCAGAGATGAGAATCCCCAGGAGAATAGATTTTATGTTTTAAATTTGTTCATTCCAAAGCAAGCAGAATCATGTCAGCACTGGTGCAGGTAAGGAAAAAAAAACTCCAATGCATCAGGAAGAGAGAGCAAACACTGTCAGATGAAATATTTTTTACTGTAAAGGGTACTAGAATCATAGAATGGTTTGGGTTGGAAGGGGCCTTCAAGATCATCTAGTTCCAACCCCCCTGCCATGGGCAGGGACACTTTCCACCGGATCAAGTTGCTCAAAGCCCCATCTAACCTGGCCTTGAACACCTCCAGTGATGGGGCATCCACAGGTTCTCTGGGCAACCTGTTCCAGTGCCTCACCACCATCATAGCAAAGAATTTTTTCCTTATATCTAATCTAAATCTACCATCTTTTAGCTTAAAACCATTACCCCTCATCCTACTACTACTACATGACCTTGTAAAAAGCCCCTCTCCAGCTTTCCTGTAGGCATCCTTCAGGTATTGGAAGGCTGCTAGAAAGTCTTCCTCGAGCCTTCTCTAAGCTAAACACCCCAACTCTTTCAGCCCATCTTCATAGCAGAGGTGCTCCAGCCCTCTGATCAACCTTTGTGGCCCTCCTCTGGACTCACTCCAACAGGTCCGTGTGCATGCTGTGCTGAGGACTCCACAGCTGGATGCAGTACTGCAGGTGCGGTCTCACGAGAGCGGAGTAGAGGGGGTGAATCACCTCCCTCGACCTGCTGGTCACACTTTTTTTGATGTTGCCCAGGATATGGTTGGCTTTCTGGGCTGCAAGCACACATTGCCATGTCATGTTGAGCTTCTCATTAACCAACATTCCCAAGTCCTTCTCCTCAGGGCTGCTCTCAATCCATTTTCTGCCCAGCCTGTATTTGTGCTTGGGATTGCCCCAATCCAGGTTGGGGACGTTGCACTTGGCTTTGTTGAACTTCTCAAGCCTGTCAGGGTCCCTCTGGATGGTATCCCTTCTCTCCAGCATGTCAACCACACCACACAGCTTGGTGTCATGAGCAAACCTGCTGAGGCTGGACTCAATCCCACTGTCCATATCACCAACAAAGACGTTAAACAACATGGGTCCCAATACTGACCCCTGCAGAATGCCACTTATCACCGGTCTCCACTTGGGCATTGAGCCATTGACCACAATTCTTTGAGTGCAACCATTCAGCCAATGCCTTATCCACCAAATTGTCCATCTGTCAAATACAATGTCTCTCCAATTTAGAGACAAGGACGTTATACAGGGCAGTATCAAATACTTTTCACAAGTTCAGGTAGACTGGACTTAGCAGATCCTCCGACACTTATTCTGCTGGTTTGCCCCAGTGAAATCAGTGCAGTTAGTTCCTGAAATGCCTCTCTAATGTAAAGAAAGATCTAACTCAGGGAGAGGAGAAAGATTACACATGGTGACAACATTTTGGATGTGTACAGCATGATAAAAGCTTACCTGCATCAATACCCATCGCAATGCGGCCCAGTATGAGCATTTCAAATGACCCTGCCAACAAGGAGAGGGACATCAACAATGCAGCTGTCACTGCAAACACATTATTGAGGAGCAATGTACATTTCCTAAAAGGAGAAGATATTTTATGTAGATAGCAGCATCACAACAGTTACATCTAGTCACATTCAAAGCATATTAGGCTATTATTCTTAAATATCCATAAATAAAACCAAAAAGTACCTAACAAACGCTGCCCCTTACATGTTGCACAGAGTTCCAAAATACAACACTATGCCCAAATGGATACAGTTCCAGACATATGCCAGAGCTTCAAAATAAAATGTATCAAAGCTAACTAAAGAACGGTACTTCAAAGGCACAGCAAATAGCCATCTACGCACCCCAAGAACCCAAGTGCCGTGCCTGAGACCCTGTATATGAATACAAACAAGTGCACTCTGGGTAAATGTATGTATGTAGGAACCAGAGAATACACTTCAAATATCAACAAACTGATTTAACTGCAAGTGTTTTTATGCTACATATAGTTTGTGCCATTTTGAGAACTTCCCAAGACTGACATATTTACGTCATAATTCATCCTTAAACCCATGACATTAAATATATACATTGAGGAAAAATTACTACTTGTAGAGTTAGAAAAAAACACTTGGGCTCACAGGAGCAATAAAAATCAACCTCCTTCCAAAAATTGTTGAAATTAACCAAAATATTGACTTACATTTTCTCCCCCCAAATTCTTAAATATTCTACATCAGTGAAATAAAATGTGAAAAAAAAAATCCTTTCAAAGAAAATAAATGTTCTTTATTAAAAAGTATTACTTTGTTGAAAAAATACAAAGAAAAAAATGAAAATAAATTTAAAAAAAATAAAAATATCTCAATTTCTCATTCACAGTATACCAACATTTGTTTTTCTTACAGTTTTAATCTTATAGAATTTTCTGCTCAAGTTTGAGGGACTCATTAATTCAACAGTGACTTGCAAGTCTCATAACTTCTGCAGAAGGAAATACTTTACAAAAGAAATGATATGTAGGATTTCATGGGCTTTTGGCAGTCAGATTCAAACACTGTCATCCAAGGTCTCATTGCTCAAACACATGGAAG